ATGTGTGTGGACGGCCAGGCTCTCCCTGGGTCCTCACGGGGCCATCCCTCTGCATGTCTGTGTCCTGACTCCTCCCCGGTCATATGGATCAGGCCGCTGGATTCATACAGCTATTGGCCAAGAATCGACTTTGTTTTTCAAAACCCAATCTTACCACTCGTGAGCGTGACGTACGTGTCTCCACATACAAGGATCCACCTGTTTGTCCGTCCACAAAGCAGTTCCATTGTCTCGTTAAGGCCAGGGACGTGTTGTTAGATTTGCTCTCAGGAATCTGCACATGTTCTGAGGCTGCTATGAGTGAGATAATCTTCTATTACTTTTGCTGCTTAGTTTTGTGTATTTTTTCTTCATCAACCTTGTACCCAACAATGTTACTGAGCCCTCTGGCCCCAGACGGAGCAGCGTGCTCTCTCGGCTTTCCTCATCTCGGTGGTCATGGCATCTTCAAATCAGGGCAGGCTAATCTCTTTCTCATCCTAGTATTTTTATTTCTTTTTCTTATTTTATCAATTTGGCAAGAGCCTCCAGAAGCCCGCAGATGGGGAGCAGAAGCACGGGACAGTCCCATTTTCCCTGACTTCCATAGGAATGATCTGAAAATCCCAGATCCCAGCACTAAGTCGGATGTTTGCCACCATTTCTTGTCAGATACACCTGAACATGGTAAGAATGTTGCTTGTGATCTTGTTTTATTTTTTTAAACAATCAAGACTAGCTTTTTACTTTTTAAAAAAAAATTTAAATAACTCAATTTGCCAACACTTAGTATAACACCCAGGGCTCATCCCATCAAGTGCCCTCCTTAGTTGTTTACTTTCATCACTTGCTGTTTGTGCATCTACTAAGAAGTTCACAGGTTTTCTCCTGAAATCTGTGGACGTGCACATCACAGCAGCTGGTGGCAGCCCGTGGTCCCAGGAAACTACGGCTCTGCTTTCTGCTCCCTTGCTTTGTCATTTCCAGAATCCACGGTATGGACTCATGCAGTCCTGTGTGTTTGTACACTGACGGGTGTCCTAGTGCTTTCTAGATTCATCCGTGCTGTGTAAGCCAGGATCAGCTCGTGTTCCCTGTAGATGGATTTTCACCCCTTGGACGGTGGACTCGCCTTGATTCCACACAAGTGCTCCCCAAGGAAAAGGAGGTGGGGAAACAGTTGGGGGGCCCTCTCAACCCCCGCCCTGCCTCCCCAAAGCCGCTGCTCAGGGAGACCCCATGATTGAGGGTGGGACGGTGGGGCCCAGGGTTCACCTAGCCTGTGGTGCCCTGCACAGCCCAGAAGGAGTAGCACCAGGGTCTGGACTGGACCTGATATCACAGCAGGGCGACCCCAAGGCCCCTTCCCTCTCTGGGCCCAGGTGGGGGTCCTGGCTCTGCCACCTTCCCCTGTCATGAAGAATGAGCATAGCCTCCGGGAAGCCCAGTAGGCAGCAGGCTGGCCACTGTCCATTTGTTGTTCTGGTCACGATCTGGCTTCGAGGCAAGGGCAGGAGGGTGTCTCAGGCCCTCGGCAGCCCGAACCTGCCAGCATAGCCAGATTTTGAGCCAGACTGACCCCTGGAGGCCACACCTGGCCCACAAGGCCCAGCTCCTGAGAGCACAGGTGCCCACTGACCCAGACACTCGGTGTGTGGTGGCATCCACAGGACCCAGATGTAGCAGAACCGTGAGGCACGTGTCTAATCTAGAGGATGCTATATGAAAGACAAGGTAGGCCAGCATGGCCAAGACAGGCCACAACCTCTGGACACCCTGTCGGGCCCTGGGTGGCCTGACCCTATTCCCCAGAGTACTCTCGGATGGCAGCAGGGACCACATGGCCCAGCATCTGAGCTTACAGGGGCAGCTGCCCATCTGACCCCCCTCCCAGGTCCTGCATCCCCATGAGCCCCAGACAACACAGTTCAGGGATGTGGGCCAGATGAGGAAGAGGAGAGAGCTGGACGTGAAAGTGGTCTGCATCGTGACCGGACCTCCTCCCTCACTGCCCCACACCCTCCTCCACCTGCACCGAGATGACAGTCTGGCACTTGGCCGTCTGGCTCTGGGCAGAGAGAACCTGAGAAGACAGTCCTGGCTGGGCCGACAGGGTGGGGTCTGTTAGGGAAGAGGGCACCTGCTCTGCTGAGCCCTCCCTGAGAAGCCCCTGCTGCACGTGATCCAGAATATCTGAGGCCTGACCCTGTCATCAGCTGCTCCCGGGCAACAGCCATGGAAACAAGGGGGCACTGCTCTGCCGGGGGTTGGAGGGCAGGTCAGCATCCCAACCAGCCCCATGGATGTCAGTGCTGGGCTGGTGCTCAGCCCAGAGTGGGGACCATGGTGGGGGCGCCCCAGCCCGGAAAGCAGGCATCTGCCTTGTCATTCTGGCTTTGCACCCCCTGGCAGTGTGGTCTCCACCCTGGGGTGTCCACGGGGACTTCTCCCTAGCTAGAAAACAGGCCTACATGGGCAGGGGAGGGACCCCTACGGAGCAGACACTGGGCCAGTGGGCTGTCCTCCAGACCCAACCCACTCTGTGGGGAGCGGAGGCTGGAAATGGGCAGAGGGGAGAGGTGGGGAGGGGTGCAGCCAGGCCACTGCCTCCGGGCAGAAGGGCAGGGTGGCTGCCCACTGCACAGGTGTCCCTAGCAGGCCCCATGTAAACAGTGGGCGTGGGACGGGTGGCCTATAAGAAGTGGAGGGGCCCCCCATACATAACAGCCTCTGGGCCAGGTGGGGCTGGTGCAGAGCGCTGGATCACTCACTCGTCCCTCCAGAGAATTGAGGGGTCTGGGGAGCCCCCTCTGCTTCATCTAGTGGGGGCTAGTGGTGGGGGCCATCTCAGCAACCATCTGACAATGGTCATCAAGTGATATTTAAGCCAAAAACCTCTTTCCAAACAAAGCCTCCTGGAAACCGCCCTGTGTCAAACAGGAAACCCTGGCTATGCTGCTTCAGGTGGGGATCGGGGCACCGCCCAGATAAGCAAGCAGGGCCCAGCTGCACCCTCACCCCTGGTGCCCCTGAGCCCCCACTTCACAGCTTCAGGGCCAGGAGGCAGATGAGAACACCGGCCCAAGGCTGACCCCTCTCGAGCCTCCCCCCTCCCAATTCCTGTCCTGTAGGTGACCTGGCCTGGGCTGGGGCTGCCCCCTCAAAGGCACAGGCAGGTGGAGCAGAAGTGACCTATTACTAGGATGGGCCAGGAGCTCAGCTCCATGTCAACGAAACACACCACACACTCAGAACTTCTGGGGTTCAAGGCCTCCGTGGCCAGGGAGGGTGGCATCAGAATAGTTGAGGGCCGTGGGGTAGGCACATTGACTGTCTTACAGAAAGGCTGGCTCTGAAGCACCCAGAACCCCCACCTGACCACATGGCAGAGGCTGTGAGCCCCCCATCCCCTCAGCAAATCTTCTGCTCTAGGAGGTCATCTGGGGGCTCCAAGGCCAGTCCAGGCCAACAGACCATCTAGAAAGTCCACCGGTCTTTGCCAGGGACAATGTGGGCTCCTGAGATTGCCGGAGGGGGCTGTGCAGGCACTATGGGGCCTCCCAGGCCAGGACAGCATTGGCTAGACCCCAGGCACTGGGTCCCAGGGTGGTGCTGATGGTCCTGACTGGCCATCAGCACCCTCCCTGCTGTCAGATGGGGGCAGGTTGGGGCAGGCTCAGCTGAGGGACAGCCGAGCCCTCAGTTCCTTGGGAGACAGCGAATGCAGAGGAAGAGGGGTTAGAGTCCCCACTGGTGCAAGCCCTCGCTGGATCCCAGCATTTCAGAGCCTGGTGTGGGTACCACCTTCCCTGAGAGCCCCCATTGAATCAAGTGTAAAATGTAGTGGAGAATCTTGGGCAAGGACAAACTGGGAGCCCTGGGGCAGCCATCAGCACCCTCCCCTCAGGCTTCTGAGGATGCTCACAGGTAGGGTGCCTGCACTCAGGGGTCCTCAGGCCAGGGACCCAGGGCTCCCACTCCCTTGCCAGCTGGTCAGGCTGGGGCTGTGCTGCCTCAGAACAGACACCTGGCTCCTCACCCCTCTTGTGAGCTCCAGCTCTTGTCCAGTAGGCCCCATGGCAACCCAGATGGAGACCACCGGCCTGGCAATCTGTGTCATAAAAGGACTAGAGGAGTCCAGTCCTTTCCCTAAAATTCTCATCGGGTGGCTCTGCTCACGCATCAGCTCCCCAAATACACACAGGCAGGTAGGTAGATAGACACATGCCTGTACACCAACACACATGCACACACACAGTGCTGGCTTCCCATCCGGGGCCATGGGACCAACCAGAACTTCTGCCGGTGGGTCTGAGCATCTGCTGGCCCTGCGGGCACATCACAGACAGGAAGGATCCATCAGGTCACCCTTGCAGCAGGAGCTGGCTTGCTGCTCCTGACCCGTGGACTACGCACGTTCTTTTTGCCAGTGGAGAGAACCAGGGTGAGGCATATTTCAGACACATACACGCAAACGTGTGTGTATTCACACTCAAGCTGCACATGCACACACGTGCACACATCCAGGTGCACACATGTGCTGAGCTGTTGGGCCCCATGGGGCAGGACAAAAACCTCACCAAAGGGAAAGTTGAGGAAAGCCACCCAAGGATCCCTTTTTGCAAACTCAGAGCTGGAAGTCCAACCGGAGGGGCGGGGCACCTGCCTCATGAAGGCCCAGACAGGGCTTTACACACGCCAAGGGCAGGACGGCGCTGGACAGGGCTTTGGGGAGGGAGCCCTGGAGAAGGTGGCTCCTGGGGATTGCACCGTGCCCAGCAAGGTTGGGGAGGCCAGGCCAGGCATGCATGCCAGGCATCTCTGCGTCCCTGTGCAGAGCCCAGGGTCAGGCCCCACACGGGCTGGAGGGGCCCTGCCCCACAGGAAGCAGCCAGACCCCCACCCGTGCACAGCGACCACCCAGACCCTTGGCAACAACTGAACACACCGGCACAGCGTCTGCCCAAGTTTATTTTGGAAAGCAAAGAAATCAAACAAAGACTCAGAAAATAAATATCTGCAGAGAGGAAGTCCGCTTAGGCGAGGAAGCTGAGAGGGTCAGCGGGAGGTGGGTGCACGGAGGGCGCTTGGGGGCAGGGGGCGCTGGATGCTGGACCGGCTCAGTCCCTCTCTGATTACAGGCCCCGGGGACTGGCGCGCCTGGCACGGCCGGGGACACTGCGCTGAGTCTGCGGGAGCTCACACATGGTGTCCTGGCACTGGCAGCTCTCGATGTGGGTGTAGGTGTAGGTCTTCGAGCCGCCCTGAGGGCACTGCAGCACCACCTGCCGCTGGCTGGTGCGCTCCTCCTTACAGCAGGAGCAGCTGTGGTCCAGGCCCTGGGCCTCAGCCGAGTACCTGGGGGAGGGTGGGAGTGAGGAGCTGCTCCCTGGGCACCCCCCCTACTCAGGGCACACTCGGGGCCTCAGACTCACATGGCAAAGGTCCCACAGGACCCAGAGCAGTAATTCATTGTGACATTGTTGGAGCAGCCGTTATAAGAAATTTCCTTGGTGACGGGGATGGTGGAGCAATAGATCCTGGTCTCATTGCGAGGGATGCCTGGCAAGAGGGGGCGGGGGCTCTGGGGTGGGGTCTCCACACCTTTACACGGGGCCCACAGGTCCTTCCCCAGTGCCTTCTTCTCCCTCCTCCAGCGAGCCTGGCCTCGGCCACCCCCCAGCAAGCGGGGCACCCCAGGTGACACCCTCAAATTTAACATCTGGCTGAGAGTGGCACAGAGGGCACAGGATCCCCGTGACACCATTCCCTGTGTCTCTTCCCCTTGAGGGCCCCGGATGGAGCTCCCCTGCCCAGCCGCACCTGGTGCCCAGGAGCCAGTCTCCCACCAGCTTATACTCACATTTTTTGCAGCATCCGTTGGGCATGAGTGTGATGGAGCCCTGGAAAGAAGGAGAATGAGCCTGGGAGCCCCTGGCTGCCCCCCAACCATGAACAACCCCCACCTGCCACGGAGTGGGAAGGGACAGGTCCCAGTCCTCGGGACCCCCACTCACCGGGATGCAGATGCTGGGGTCAAAGTCGGGGCAGGTGATGTTGGAGACAGAGGAGATGAGCTGGTTGTGTATTTTCACACAGCTGAAGAAGGTGCAGTTATTCTTGGGGTCAGAATGTATGTCCCCAGGCTGCAGGGCACAGGACAGTCTGGTGAGGCCCAGCAGGAGGCCCGGCCGGCAAGACACACCGGAACCGCCTGGCAGGCTTCCCACCACCAGCTGAGGGCAGCTTCTCAGACAGGACGTCCAGCCTGTGGGCCCAGAGCCCCGGGCAGGTGACGCAGAGACAGCCATCAGCCCCTAGTGCACAGACATGCCTACACCCCTACCCCGGCACCTGCAGATGTTTATAGATGTGATTACGTTAAAGATCTAGAAATGAGACCATCCTGGATCACACAGGTGGCCCTAAACCCAACGACAAGGGTCCACACAGGCCCATAGAGGGGAGGGGCCCAGGGAAGATGAGGCAGAGAGTTGATGGGTGACACAAGCACAGCACCGCCTGGAGCCCCGGAAGCTGAGGAGGCAAGAGGATCCCCCAGAACCCTGTGACACCTGGATCTTGGACTCCGGCTCTGAGGGCTCCCGGTGTTTCTAGCCCTAGTCTGTTCTCACTTGTCATAACCACCCCAGGACACTTGGACAGCCGTGCCCAGAGCTGAGGAGAGCCAGCCAGGGGTTGCCCATGGCTCCCAGCCAGCTCCTCCCATGTCAAGAGACAGGATGTCAGCAGGTGGGACCCCCCACCTACCTTTAGGATGATGTTCTCCTTATCTGGCCTCTTGATGATGCAGTGGGTCTGCACACACTTCCCACAGCACTCCCTGGGAACCTCAACCAGCTCGAAGCCCTGCAGGACACGCACCACTTGGGTTGGCGGGAAGGAGAGGTGCCCTGGGGGCGGGTGGGGGGCGGCCCGTGCTCCCGGGGTGGGGTGCGGCTTACGGGGTTGCAGGAGTTATTGCAGGGCACATGGGAGCAGGAGATGATGTTGAGCTGCGAGGTGCTGTTTCTCTTGGTGGTACAGACACAGTCCTGGCACTTGGATGAGTAAACTGGGGAACCCGGCTGAGGACAGACAGTGAGTGAGGCAAGGCATCTCCCACGCCTCCCACCCACTCACAGGAGGGCTGGCCCCTGCCCCAGAGCCCCCAGGGCGGGCACCCGCCACCCCCCGGCCCAGGGCTCACCTGGTACTCGGCATTCCCGTGGACGCACACCCCCTTGGGCACTGGAAGAGAGAGTGGGGACATGGGTCAGGCTGGCCCCGCGGCTGACGCCCAGCCACCGGACACTGTGGGCCCTCGGGCCCCACTTACCACAGGAGTAGGACGGGCAGCACTTCCCGGGTCTGGTCTCACTCTTCACTTCGAATCCCAGTGGGCACTTGGGCAGTGTCTCCTGGCACAGGCTGGTGTTGCACTCTGGAGGGAGGGAGGAGACCCAGTAGGACAGGCAGGGCCTGTGGGCGGCAGCCCCCCTGACGCCCAGGCCCCCAGGCCCGCTCTGACCCCGGCGCCCCCCAGTGCCAGCCCAGCCCCTGCCCTGGGGCGGCCTTACTGCAGGATGTGATGTTGCAGCACGGGTCCGCGGGGTTGACCTCCGTGAGCGGGTAGGTGCCTTCCTCCATGCACTCGAGGGGCTCCTGGCGACACTCCTTGGGCTCGCAGACGATGCCGCGCCCGCCCTCCAGGCACACACAGTCCTTGCAGTCGAACTCGAAGTGCTCTCCAAACTGCAGGGAGGAGGTGGGTGGGCGGGGGGCGCAGGCGGGGGCCCGGCCCTCGGCGGAGGAGGCGCAACGTGGGCAGCACACTGAGGGTCCCGTGGGAGACCTGTGCCCTCCCCGCCTCCCAGTCCTCGGGCAGGCTCGCTCAGGCCACATCGCTGGTCACACAGCCGTGACCGGCTCCCAGCATTCACCTCCACGGCCTGGCCCGCGGCAACAGAGACACAGACCGCACGGCAGCGGCCAAGGTGTCATCTTGGGTTTAGACAGAGCATCAAATGACTGATGGGTGGGTGGTATGAAGGGGGTGGATGGACGTTTGGATCATTGGGTGGATGGACAGATAGACAGTTGAACAAAGGGTGTGGGTGTGGGTGGGTAGGAGGAAGGAAAGAAAGAGGAAGGGGGAAGGAAGGGGACACCCCTGCTGGCTCAGCCTCCTGGGACTCAAACAACATGACTCAGGGTTTGAGACTCCTGGATTCTCGTGAGCATCCCACTATAACCCCAAAAACTCCAGGTTCATGGGGGAACCCCACCCCAGCACCAAGGGACAGGGCCTACCTTTCTAGGCACATCGTCAGGTCCCACACAGCCTGGAAAGGGAGAGAAAAGCAGTCCTGTTAGCGGAGTCCTGGTGCCGCAGGACTGGGGTGGGTTGGGGGGGGCCGTGTGGGCAGGCAGCGTACCACACAGCTCCACGCAGACATCGTATCCCGGGGCATAGCTCGTGGTGCCCTCCGGACAGAAGCAGCCTTCCACCAGGCTGGTGTTCACCTCTGAGGGCCTGGGGGTGGGTAAGAGGGGTGCACACACAGGCTGGGAGGCAGGCATGCTGGACCCCGAAGCCCAGGCAGCACCTGCCACCATGCACAGCCCCCAGGGCCAGCCCACCATCCCTGCGCACCTTTCAGCCACTTACCTAGACTCGCAGGTGGGCTCCTCTGCGGGACCACAGGCGCGATACTCCCGGTGAGGCGGACATGTCACCGCTGCAGGCAGGAGACACAAGTCAGAGGAGCCAGAATCAGGACAGAGGAGCCCATGGGCCCCCTGGCAAGGGACAGTGCTGCCCAGCATCTCCTGTCCCAGCCGCAGGTGACCCGCTGCCCGGTGCCACCCACCTCAGTCCCCCACAGGTGCCTGGCTGTGCCTGGCAAGGCTGGCAGTAGCCCCGGGCCCCCAGCCGCTCAGGCCGACCCTTCCTCCCAACCCCAGGCCCAGCCCGGCCCCGCCAACCCGGTGTGCTCCAGGCTGGGCACAGCGCCCCATGGAGCCCAGAGACCCCCTCTGGCCCTCAGGACCACAGGTCTGGGTGAGGGGCAGGCACGCACAGCAGACCCCGTGGGTGTGGTTCCGCCAGTCGACACAGATGCCCGAGTGGGCGCACAGGGCCGCGTAGGCCTGCAGGCTGGCGCACTCTAGGCCTGAGCCGGGCACGAAGCAGGTGTCGAACACGCAGGCATCGTAGTAGTGCTGGGGGGGCACCAGGGCGTGGCACTGGGCAAACAAGCTGGAAGGGAGAGGGCGGGGGTCACGCTCTGGCCGGCCCTTCCCACCAGACCAGTACCTCCACCTGGCTGCCCTCCAGGAGCCTGGCTCAGCCTACACCCCACCGAACAGGGACCTGCAGGAAGACGGTGGCAGGAGAGCAACAGGGCCGCCTTGGGGACGAGGACAATCTGCTGGGGGCCACATTCCTGGAGGTGGACGCTCTGCCCTAAGTGGCTGCCAGGTGCCAGAACCAGTAGCACCACCCCCACCCCACCCCCCGCAAAATCCTGGCAGAGGGCCATCCAGACTCAACTTGTACACCTCTGGGGACAAGGTACTCGCTCCCCACGGATGCCAGCCTTGGGAGTGCCTCCCTGCTCCCAGCCCTGAACACCAGCTCTGTCCCCGTCAGTTGCCTTCCTTAAGGCCTTGGGCTCTGCTGGCCCTGCTGAGGCCACAAAGGGACCGGGTTGTCTGACATCGAGATCCCCGGCCCTGGGCCCTCCGCGACTCCCCTGTGGTGCCCCAGCCCTGTGCTCATGCCCCTGCCTTGACTCCTATTTGTAGACAGGGCTGCGGCATGGAGGGGCATGCCTGTCCCTGAGACCCCGCAGCTCGCCAGGCTGGGGGCAAGGGCACCTGTCTTTGATGAGCTCGCAGAGAGAAGAAGCACAGTCCTTGTGGTGGGTGGTGCTGCTGCCCCCTGGTGGTGTGATGAGTGGGCGCTTGGTGGTGACACCGGTCTGGGGACAATGTGGCTTGGACGGGTCGTTCACCACCCAGTGGTCAGCTGCGAACTCGCAGTTGGAAACCACCTCCCCACTGGGCAGCATGCAGTCGTCCGCGGTGTTGTTGGTACAGGTGCCTGTGTTGGGAGGAAGCCCGCTTCGTACCAGCACACGGCCCCCGGCCGGCCCTGGACCCTACTCATCTCCAACCAGCTCCCCCGGTGACCCTCAGGCCTCCGATGGGCCTCTTTCCATGGGGCCCCGAGCGGGGCAGCAAGAGAAGTACCTCACACCCTCCTCAGGGGCACAGACCCAGCCCAGGGCTGTGGGGAACCTTCTGGGGGGTGGGGGGCGAGGGGCTCACCACACTGGCCCTTGGTATTGTTGCCAAAGTGCTGGTAGGGCAGCCTGATGGAGAAGGAAAGCCCGTTGTAGGAGATGACGGCGCCCAGCTCGGGGATGTCCACCACGTAGTTGATGCCTGACTGGTACACCTGCAGCCCGTACTTCCTGTAGGGCAGTGCCACGACCTGCCTGTTGACCTGCACCTGTGTCCAGAACAGCTGGTGTCAGGAGGGCCAGCAGGGCAGACACAGTGGCCGCTCCCCCGGGGCCCTCCTGGCCACCTCAGGAAATGGAGCATCGTGGCTCTAACCAGGGTGAGTCTTCAGAGAGCACCTGAGTCACCCCACCCCTGCCTGTTTCCAGGCCTGTGCATCCGGAGTGGGGGTAGGGGGAACCTCTGCCTGTCCCCCTGCCCCTGCTCTGGGCCAGACTTGTCCTGGCCAGTCCCTGGGGTAAGATAGCAAGGACCCTGCCCTCACAGGCCCCTGGAGACTCTGGGGCCTATGCTGAGGAGAGAGCCCCCCAGGCCACATGAAGCAACACCACGCGACTGTGTGCACAGTCCCTGCACTCAGGAAGAGGGCTTCTGGCCCAGAGACCTGGGGCAAGGCGGATGGTGGGAGCGAGAGTGGATGAGGTTAAGGGGTCCCTGACAGCCCCCAGGGGGGCCTGCTGAGCGACGGTGTCCTCCACCTTGCCAGCGCACCTGGACCTTTATGGGCATCAGCTGCAATGTCTTGATCAACACCTCCTGAGACTCGTGGCGCACAATGAGCGTGCGCGGGCAGGACACCTGGTCGTTGACGTCACAGTGGTAGTTATCGATGTACACTCCGAAGTTGTCCACCTTGGAGGTGATCTCCTCCACAAGCACGTAGGTGCAGTTGCCCTGGTAGCTGTAGTAGAGCCCATCGAAGGTGACGTAGTGTGGGTCCCCCCAGCCTGTGCAGTAGCCTGCGGAGGGAGCTTGGCTGAGCCACGCTGGGGGCCAGGACGGGGGCAGGAGCAGCCAGGAGCCCAGGGACGGGCGGGGAGAGCAAGCAGGGATCAAAGGGGTGCCAAAAATTCTGGTCCCTGGGGCACATGGGGCATCCGAGCCTGTGCTGTGGGATGGAGCCTTACTTTGGAGCTGGGAGGTCTGGGGCCCAAGTCCAGCTCCTCCAAACCTAGGAGCAGCCTTGCTCTGGTCCAGCCCCTCCCCTGCCTGGACCCTCTGCCTGAGGTGGGGAATGAGCAGAAGGCCCACAGCAGGCAGCCATCACGTCCACCTGGGTTCTGCGCCCCCAGACCCCGGCCCCACAGAAGGCATCAGGGGACTCACAGTCACATTCCCAGTGCCAGCAGCAGCCGTCGGGATCCAAAACTCTCACGGGCTGGAGGCCGTTGGTGCAGGTGGGCATGGGCGGGGGCTCACACTCCACCTCTACTAGTTCCACGGTGTTGTTGTACTTGCAGATGGCCATGGTGCAGTTACACAGCCACCACGTCTCGTTCTCCTATGGCAGGAAGGGCGCGGGATCAGCGGGGGCCAGCCTGGACCCCCTGGCCTGCAGAGAGGGTGGGCCTGAGGCCCCATGCAGGAGGCAGCTGCCCTGCCAGCCTCGCTGAGGGGGACCCGGGACACCCTGTGCCCAAAGGGCTGCTGGAAGCCTCAGTGGTAATGCAGGGCATAGGAACGGGGGCATCTTGGATGACCAGCAGAAATGCAGTGCCTGGCATCAGACACCTGGCTGGTGCTTATGCTCAGTGCCAAGGGGACAAAACATGGCCCACAGCACACTGACCTGTCTGGGAGGAATAAAGTCTGGGCACCCAGGAGGCTTGCTGGTGGTCGGTGTGCTTGATGACACAGGTGTGGGTGTTTTGGGTGTTGAGGTCGGTGTCAACTTGGAAGGGGTAGGCGTTGGGGAGGGTGTGGACGGGCATGACCAGTTGAAGATCTCAAGGGTGCAGGACAACGAGCAGTTCACATAATAGCAGGTGTCTCCGTGCGTGCCATTGTACACCACATCACCTGCAAGGGGAGAGAGACCAGGCTTCCACTGTCCGGGCAGGGCTGACCACCAGGGCCTGCAGGCAGGTCCCCATAAGGCCACCAACCCCCACTTCCCTGACTCATGGCCACAGCAAAGTGGGGCCAACCACAGGGACAGCCACCCATACCCAGCATCCAGCTTCCCAAGCAAGCTCCTGGTTTAGACTTATGCCTGACCCCTGAGCACTGGTAAAAGCAGACCAAAGCCTCACCAGCCTTTGTCACCTGAGAGCCAGAAGTGAAAAGCTTGGGTACCTGGTATGTAGTATGTGTCATTCAAAAGGCAGCAGGGGACGATGATAGAGGAGATGAAGCCCGTGCTTTTACTGATGTGGGGAGAGGAGATTGAGGTCTGTGTGGGGGTGGGCCCATGGGAGGTCGTGGTGCTGGTGGTCTGTGGCGTGGGCGGCGTGGGCGGTGTGGTCGAGGAGGGCCTGGGGGTGGTCGCACTGGTGGGGGTGGTCTTCGAGGAGGGGGGACCAGAGGTCTGCGTGCCTGTCAAAATGAAGGTTTCGGGTGAGATATGCTGACCAGCTGCCCTCTGAACCCCCTCGGGGAGGAGTAGGCAGAAGTGGGAGACAGAGGGAGGGTCTCCCAGGGACCTGACTGGCAGCTTCCACTCCCTGCCCAGCCCTGGCCTGACATGATACAGTGGGTCCCCCTCAGTGGGCTGCTTTGCCTATGTTGCCCATCACACAGCCAAGGAGTGAAGGACAAGGACCTCAGGCAGCTGTGCCTGAAGAATGACATCTTGTGGGGGAAAGTGAGAGCACTCAGCTCTGCTACCCACACATAGGGTGATGGTCAGCAGCTCCCTGACACTCAGTGGCCCACCCTGGCCTGCAAGGGAGGCATGCTGAGCCAGCCTGGAACCTCTCTGCTACTCTCTCACTAGACAGACTCATGTCTGAGAAGCTACAGGGCTCCCCTAGCAGAAAAACATGCTCTCCTAGGGTAAGGAAGAACCACAGCCCATCACTGGGAACCACACTAGCTCTGTGGTGTTTATATACCTGGAATGGTGGTACCAGAAGTGGGCGGGGAGAAGGTGAGTTACCTCTTGTTGTAGTGGCCTTTGTTTCTGTTGGCGGGGAAGGCGATCCTGTGCTGGTTGTCTCCACGATTGTCGGGGTAGGGGTCAGATGTGTAGTTGATTCTGCAGAAAAAGGGAAAGTCAACTGAGAGTTTGGAGGAAAGGAGGGCTCAGGTGGGGCTTTTGGCATGGTGGTCTTACCTGTAGGTACAGTGCTGGTGGTAGTGGTGGTCGGAGTGGTGGTGGTGGTCGTGGTGGTGGTTGGGGTTGAGGGGCCAATAGGAGTGGTGGTCAGAGTCCCTGTGGGGGTGGTAGTTGGAGTGGTGGTGGGGGTGGTGGTTGGGGTGGTGGTCAGGGTGGTGGTGGGGGTGGTTGTTGGAGTGGGGGTGGTGGTTGGAGTGGTGGTGGCAGTTGAGGTCAGGGTGGTGGTTGGGGTGGTGGTCGGGGTGGTTGTTGGAGTGAGGGTGGGGGTAGTGGTAGGGGTGGTGGTTGGAGTGGTGGTGGTGGTTGGGGTCGGGGTAGTGGTGGTAGTTGAGGTCAGGGTGCCCGTAGGGGTGGTGGTCAAAGTCACTGTGGAGGTGGTAGTAGGAGTGGTGGTGGAGTGGTGGTTGGAGTGGTGGTGGGGGTGGTTGTTGGAGTGGTGGTGGGGGTGGTGGTTGGGGTGGTGGTTGGGGTGGTGGTGGGGGGGGGAGTGGGGGTGGTGGTCAGGATGGTGGTAGTGGTTGATGGAGTGGTGGTGGGGGTAGAGGTCGGGGTGGTGGTGGGGTGGTGGTAGTGGTGGTATGGAGTGGTGGTGGGGGTGGGGGTGGAGTGGTGGTCGGGGTGTTGTGGAGTGGTGGTGGGGTGGGGTGGGGTAGTGGGGTGGGGGTGGGGTGGTGGTGGGGTGGTCGTGGTGGTTGATGGAGTGGTGGTGGGGATGGGGTGGGGGTGGTGGTTGGGGTGGTGGTGGTGGGGTGGGGGTGGGGGTGGGGTAGTGGTGGTGGGTGGTCATGGAGTGTGGTGGGGGTGGAGGTGGGGTGGTGGTAGTGGGGGTGGGGTGGTGGTCGGGGTGGTGTGGTGGTTGATGGAGTGGGTGGTGGGAGTGGGGGGGTGGGTCGGGGTCGTTATGGAGTGGAGGTGGGGGTGGTGGTCGAGGTGGTGGTGGTGGTGGTCAATGGAGTACTGGTGGGGGTGGAGGTCGGGGTGGTGGTGGTGGGGGTAGGGGTGGTGGTCAGGGTGGTCGTGGTGGTCGATGGAGTGGTGGTGGGGGTGGAGGTCGGGGTGGTGGTGCTTGATGGAGTGGTGGTGGGTGTGGGGGTGGTGGTCGGGGTGGTGGTTGGGGTCGTTGTTGGAGTGGAGGTGGGGGTGGTGGTCAGGGTGGTGGTCGATGGACTGGTGGTCAGGGTGGAGGTCGGGGTGGTGGTCGGGGTGGTGGTCGATGGAGTGGTGGTGGGTGTGGGGGTGGTGGTCGGGGTGGTAGTCGATGGAGTGGTGGTCAGAGTGGAGGTCGGGGTGGTGGTCGGGGTGGAGGTCGGGGTGGTGGTCGGGGTGGTGGTGGTGGTGGTGGTGGTCGATGGAGTGGTGGTCGATGGAGTTGTGCTCGGGGTGGTGGTCAATGGAGTGGTGGTAGGGGTGGTGGTCGGGGTGGTGGTCAGGGTGGTGGTGGTGGTGGTCGATGGAGTGGTGGTCGGGGTGGTGGTCGGGGTGGTGGTCGGGGTGGTGGTCGATGGAGTGGTAGTCAGAGTGGAGGTTGGGGTGGTGGTCGGGGTGGTGGTCGGGGTGGTGGTGGTGGTGGTGGTCGATGGAGTGGTGGTCAATGGAGTGGTGGTCGGGGTGGTGGTGGTGGTCGATGGAGTGGTGGTGGGGGTGGAGGTCGGGGTGGTGGTCGATGGAGTGGTGGTGGGGGTGGAGGTCGGGGTGGTGGTCGATGGAGTGGTGGTGGGGGTGGAGGTCGGGGTGGTGGTCGATGGAGTGGTGGTGGGGGTGGAGGTCGGTGTGGTGGTCGATGGAGTGGTGGTCGGGGTGGTGGTCAGGGTGGTGGTAGGGGTGGTGGTCGATGGAGTGGTGGTCGATGGAGTGGTGGTTGGGGTGGTGGTGGTGGTCGATGGAGTGGTGGTGGGGGTGGAGGTCGGGGTGGTGGTCGATGGAGTGGTGGTGGGGGTGGAGGTCGGGGTGGTGGTAGGGGTGGTGGTCGATGGAGTGGTGGTCGATGGAGTGGTGGTCGGGGTGGTGGTCGGGGTGGTGGTGGTGGTCGATGGAGTGGTGGTCGGGGTGGTGGTCGATGGAGTGGTGGTCGATGGAGTGGTGGTCGGAGTGGTGGTCGGGGTGGTGGTCGGAGGAGGCGTGGAGATACAGTAGTCCGGCAGGTAACAGCACTCCACGTTGATCTCGTAGTTGAGGCAGTACGGCTGTGGCATGAGCCCCCCTGGTTTCTGGTCTTCGTTCTTGCACACCAGTCCCACGGAGACGTCGCACTGCACGGTTTGCCCGAGGTCGCCCAAGGGGATGTCGGGCCAGAAGACGGCTCTGCAGGAGATGTTGACGGCCGAGCCCAAACTGCAGACTTCAATAGATTCGAAGTCCCCACCCGGTTTAGTAAAGGTGGGTTTCCTGGAATCCAGCCAGCCCGTCCAGTAGCAGTCAGGCACGCAGGGAGGGGTAGACCTTGTGCTGGTAGGCGTGGTGGTGGTGGTCGGGGTGGTGGTCGGGGTCGGGGTGGCCGTGGTGGTGGTGGTCGGGGTGGTGGTGATGGTTGAGGTCGGGGTGGTGGTCGGGGTAGGGGTGGCCGTGGTGGTGGTGGTCGGTGCTCCTGTGGGGGTGGTTGTTGGAGTGGTGGTTGGGGTTGTGGTGGTGGTGGTTGATGGAGTGGTGGTGGGGGTCGGGGTGGGGGTGGAGGTCGGTGTGGTGGTCGGGGTGGTCGTGGTGGTTGATGGAGTGGTGGTGGGGGTGGAGGTCGGGGTGGTGGTCGGGGTGGTGGTGGTGGTTGATGGAGTGGTGGTCAGAGTGGTGGTGGTTGATGGAGTGGTGGTGGTAGGGGGGTGGGGGTGGTGGTGGTCAAGGTGGTGGTGGTGGTGGTTGATGGAGTGGTGGTGGGGGTCGGGGTGGGGGTGGAGGTCGGTGTGGTGGTCGGGGTGGTCGTGGTGGTTGATGGAGTGGTGGTGGGGGTGGAGGTCGGGGTGGTGGTCGGGGTGGTGGTGGTGGTTGATGGAGTGGTGGTCAGAGTGGTGGTGGTTGATGGAGTGGTGGTGGTAGGGGGGGTGGGGTGGTGGTGGTCAAGGTGGTGGTGGTGGTGGTTGTGGAGTGGTGGTGGGGGTCGGGGTGGGGTGGAGGTGGTGTGGTGGTCGGGGTGGTCGTGGTGGTGATGGAGTGGTGGTGGGGGTGGAGGTGGGGTGGTGGTCGGGGTGGTGGTGGTGGTTGATGGAGTGGTGGTCGAGTGGTGGTGGTTGATGGAGTGGTGGTGGTGGGGGGTGGGGGTGGTGGTGGTCAGGTGGTGGTGGTGGTGGTTGATGGAGTGGTGGTGGGGGTCGGGGTGGGGGTGGAGGTCGGTGTGGTGGTGGGGTGGTCGTGGTGGTTGATGGAGTGGTGGTGGGGGTGGAGGTCGGGGTGGTGGTGGGGTGGTGGTGTGGTTGATGGGTGGTGGTCAGAGTGGTGGTGGTTGATGGAGTGGTGGTGGTAGGGGGGGTGGGGGTGGTGGTGGTCAGGTGGTGGTGGTGGTGGTTGATGGAGTGGTGGTGGGGTTGGGGTGGGGGTGGAGGTCGGTGTCGTGGTCGGGGTGGTCGTGGTGGTTGATGGAGTGGTGGTCAGAGTGGTGGTGGTTGATGGAGTGGTGGTGGTAGGGGGTGTGGGTGGTGGTGGTCGGGGTGGTGGTGGTGGTCGATGGAGTGGTGGTGGGGGTGGAGGTCGGGGTGGGGGTGGGGGTGGTGGTCGGGTGGTGGTGGTGGTGATGGAGTGGTGGTGGGGTGGAGGTCGGGGTGGTGGTGGTGGTTGATGGAGTGGTGGTCAGAGTGGTGGTGGTTGATGGAGTGGTGGTGGTAGGGGGGGTGGGGGTGGTGGTGGTCAGGTGGTGGTGGTGGTGGTTGATGGAGTGGTGGTGGGGGTGGAGGTGGGGTGGGGGTGGGGGTGGTGGTCGGGGTGGTGGTGGTGGTTGATGGAGTGGGGGTCGAGTGGTGGTGGTTGTGGAGTGGTGGTGGTAGGGGGGGTGGGGGTGGTGGTGATGGAGTGGGGGTGGGGGTGGGGTGGGGGGTGGTGGGGTGGTGGTGGTGGTGTGGGTGGGGTGGGTGGTGGGGTGGTGGGTGGTGGTGGTGGTGGGAGTGGTGGTGGGGTGGGGTGGGGGTGGGGTCGGTGTGGTGGTGGGGTGGTGTGGTGGTGTGGGTGGTGGTCAGGTGGTGGTGGTTGTGGAGTGGTGGTGGTAGGGGGGGTGGGGGTGGTGGTGGTGGGGTGGTGGTGGTGGTGATGGAGTGGTGGTGGGGGTGGGGTGGGGGTGGGGGTGGGGGTGGTGGGTGGGGTGGTGGTGGTGGGTGATGGGTGGTGGTGGGGGTGGGGTGGGGTGGTGGTGGTGGTTGATGGAGTGGTGGTGAGTGGTGGTGGTTGATGGGTGGTGGTGGTAGGGGGGGTGGGGTGGTGGTGGTCAGGTGGTGGTGGTGGGGTTGATGGAGTGGTGGTGGGGTGGAGGTGGGGTGGGGGTGGGGGTGGTGGTCGGGGTGGTGGTGGTGGTTGATGGAGTGGGGGTCGAGTGGTGGTGGTTGATGGAGTGGTGGTGGTAGGGGGGGTGGGGGTGGTGGTCGATGGAGTGGGGTGGGGGTGGAGGTCGGGGTGGTGGTCGGGGTGGTGGTGGTGGTCGATGGAGTGGGGGTGGGGGTGGTGGTGGTGGTTGATGGAGGGGTGGTGGGGGTGGAGGTCGGGGTGGTGGTCGGGGTGGTGGTGGTGGTTGATGGAGTGGTGGTCAGGTGGTGGTGGTTGATGGAGTGGTGGTGGTAGGGGGGGTGGGGGTGGGGGTGGTGGGGTGGTGGTGGTGGTGGTCGATGGAGTGGGGGTGGGGGTGGAGGTCGGGGTGGTGGTCGGGGTGGTGGTGGTGGTCGATGGAGTGGGGGTGGGGGTGGAGGTCGGGGTGGGGGTGGTGGTCGGGGTGGTGGTGGTGGTTGATGGAGTGGTGGTGGTTGGGGGGGTGGGGGTGGTGGTGGTCAAGGTGGTGGTGGTGGTGGTCGATGGAGTGGTGGTGGGGGTGGAGGTCGGGGTGGAGGTGGGGGTGGTGGTCGGGGTGGTGGTGGGGGTTGATGGAGTGGTGGTCAGAGTGGTGGTGGTTGATGGAGTGGTGGTGGTTGGGGTGGTGGGGGTGGTGGTGGTAAAGGTGGTGGTGGTGGTGGTCAATGGAGTGGTGGTGGGGGTGGAGGTCGGGGTGGTGGTCGGGGTGGTGGTCGATGGAGTGGTGGTCGGGGTGGTGGTCGGGGTGGTGGTGGTGGTCGATGGAGTGGTGGTCGGGGTGGTGGTCGATGGAGTGGTGGTCGATGGAGTGGTGGTCGGAGTGGTGGTCGGGGTGGTGGTCGGAGGAGGCGTGGAGATACAGTAGTCCGGCAGGTAACAGCACTCCACGTTGATTTCGTAGTTGAGGCAGTACGGCTGTGGCATGAGCCCCCCTGGCTTCTGGTCTTCGTTCTTGCACACCAGCCCCACGGAGATGTCGCACTGCACGGTTTGCCCGAGGTCGCCCAAGGGGATGTCGGGCCAGAAGACGGCTCTGCAGGAGATGTTGACGGCCGAGCCCAAACTGCAGACTTCAATAGATTCGAAGTCCCCACCCGGTTTAGTAAAGGTGGGTTTCCCGGAATCCAGCCAGCCCGTCCAGTAGCAGTCAGGCACGCAGGGAGGGGTAGACCTTGTGCTGGTAGGCGTGGTGGTGGTGGTGGTCGGGGTGGTGGTGATGGTTGAGGTCGGGGTGGTGGTCGGGGTCGGGGTGGCCGTGGTGGTGGTGGTCGGGGTTGTGGTGATGGTTGAGGTCGGGGTGGTGGTCGGGGTCGGGGTGGCCGTGGTGGTGGTGGTGGTCGGGGTCGGGGTGGCCGTGGTGGTGGTGGTCGGGGTTGTGGTGATGGTTGAGGTCGGGGTGGTGGTCGGGGTCGGGGTGGCCGTGGTGGTGGTGGTCGGGGTTGTGGTGATGGTTGAGGTCGGGGTGGTGGTCGGGGTCGGGGTGGCCGTGGTGGTGGTGGTCGGGGTGGTGGTGATGGTTGAGGTCGGGGTGGCCGTGGTGGTGGTGGTCGGGGTGGTGGTGATGGTTGAGGTCGGGGTGGTGGTCGGGGTCGTGGTGATGGGAGTGGTCGTGGGGGTCAGGGGTGTGGATATGGGACACGGCAGGCAGCAATTGACACGGATCTCGTAGTCGTAACAGACTGCGAAGGGGCCGTTTCCAAACTGGTCTTCATTGTAGCAAATGAAGCCCACGGACACATCGCACTGGGCCTTCTGGCCGGCCTGCTCCCAGCTGAGGTGGGGGTCCGTGGCCAGCCTGCACTCGATCTCCTCGGGGGCCCTACAGACGCTGTCGAAGGTCTCCCGGTCTCCAGCATTCTGCTCAGTGGGATGGTTCTCGTTGATCCAGTCAGACCAGAAGCAGCACAGCCCTGGGGTAGCAACACCCGATGTTGGTCCCCACCCTGGGCGCAGCTCCAGGGAGCTCACCGGGCCTCCCAGAGGTCAGGGTCCCATGGCTGCCCTTCCTAAGAATGTCAGGATGGATGCCACGTCTGCCCTCCTCCTGCAGCTGAACGCTGCACCCCTCATGCCACACCTGGGTGATGGACCCTGGCCTCAGGGCCCCCAACCCCTTGCCCAGCTGCTGTCAAATCCTGCTGCCCCCCAAAAAAGTAAATCCGGGAAGAGTGACCCATTTCAGTGAGGAAGACCACGGGAAGGGGCCTGGTCTGGGCTCCCAAGCGACGGTGTCACCCAGAGCCAGCGAGTCCCTGGGGTCAAGGCCCGGAAAGCACCCTCTGTGCAGAAGAGAGCAGCACCACTGCCTGACCCCACCCATGTCCCGGTCTCCCAGAAAGTTACTGGGAGCCCTTCCTGGCACCTTCCCTCCCAGCCGCGCACCCGTGCGACCCCCACAGGACCTACCCAGAGCTTGCGAGGACAAGGGTGGAAATACAGAAGAACCGGAAAGGAAAAAAGCCTGGCGTTAGGTAGTTCAACATCTTTTTTAAAAATCTTGTTAATTTTTACGACTTTCTTTCCAGTGGCTGTTACCCCCGGGGTGGCCAGTCCATTGGTGACTGCCACCTCCGTGGCATGGATGACATGGACACAGGGACACCTAGGGACCTTCCTCTGCTTTCTCAGGGACAACCTCAGGGGTGTTCTCCTGCTGGCTCAGGAAATGTCCCCCCAGTCACCTTCACGCCTGTCTGGGCTTGGGGATGTGGTCGTGAGGCTGGCACCTCAACTCGAAAGGCCAGGGGCACAGGGGACATCCCCTGAGCAGAGACGCCCATCGTTTTGACCACCCACCCGCAAGCAGAGGTGAGAACCTGCTGCACTTGCCCCCGGAGGGGCCACACCTGCTGGGCTCAGGGAAGCCGGGCACTCGGGGAAGTGAGGGGGGCATGGCCCTGGGGCCTTCCTTACCTGTGCTGGGTGTCGGGGTGGTGGTGGTGGTGGTGGTGGTGGTGGTGGTGGTGGTGGTGGTGACGGGGGTGGAGGTGACAGGGATCGTAGTGGAGGGCAGGGGGGTTGAGGTCACACAGATGTTGAAGTGCCTCTCCACGGTCCCGTTGGGGCCACAGATCTCCCAATAGCAGAAGAAGCCATCCTGGGTGTAGTTGAGAATCTTCCCTGGGGGGCAAGAGGAAGGCCCATGTCCACACGGCAAGAATGAGACTCTCAAGAACCCCCCAGGTGTCCCCTAGCTAGCTCCAGCAAGTGCTAGGCCAATCCCCCCACCCGACCTCCAGAAACCCAGGGGGTCCCCCATCAGGGCACAGGAGCCGGCTAGAAGAAGGGATGACCTGGGCTCCCCATCACAAGTCTGAGCCAGCTCTGAGCCGGGCAAGCCCCCAGGGGGCCACAGGGACAGGGAGGGCAGCCTGGGGGCTCTCCTTGGGGGAGGAGGCCCTGGCCGGCCACCTCGGGGTAACGCAGAGGGTGGCTTACCTTCATCCCACCAGCAGACAACTTCCGAGGAGTTGGTACACACGCTGTGAAGCAAGTACAGAGCTGCAGACCCTGAGGCCAAGGCCAGGCCCCTCCTGGCTCCCAGCCCCCTGCCCCGAGCACCCCGCAGGATGTGGGGCAGGAGCCCCAGCTCCTCGGCTCTGCCCATGCAGAGGGGGAGCTCGCATGCCTACGGCCTGGATCCTAGGGGTGCCCGTGGGCCCGTATGCATGACGTGCTGGTGCAGGTGGGCATGTAGGTGTGCGTGCATGTGTGCATCCGTGAACATGCAGTGTGCTGGTGCGCACGGCTTGTAGGTGTGCGTGTGCATGCACCTGACCTCCCCAGGCCCTCTGCAGCCTGAGCCCAAGTACCAAGAGTGGCAGTCCTTCTCAGGGGGAAAAGATGCTCCAGGTGGGTAGCGTGTGTCCCCGACATAGCAGCCACATTTGTCTGCTGTGACGCACTGCTTCAGGTCCTCGTCATAGATGGGCCTATCCTTGGGGCACCGGGGGTAGCAGCCTGGAGGGCACAGGGTAGGGGGCTTAGGCCACTGCAGAGGGCCGTTTGTCCACCAGACCCCACCCATTGCCACAAGCCCCAGCCGCAAGGCCCTGCACACCGCCATTCAGCCCAAGAGACAGCCAGGTCCCACCCAGCCTCCTGGGGAGGTGAGGGAGGGCGCCCTGAGCCCCCGACCCTGATTCCCCCCCATGGACTAGGATGCTCCCTCCCCAGAGGTGGCTCAGTCTCTCATGCCCCCTAGTTCTCAGCCGCAGTCCTTGTCACCCCGCCCTGTCCTCCCTGACCTCTTCCGGCCTTCGGGTCTCTGTCACCCTGCTCGTTACTGCCTCTGTCTCCAGGCCAGGGGCTCGGCTCAGGGCACACACTCTGTGGCCAGGTGAGCCCGACCCGTCCAGACCTCAGGCCCCCAGTCCCACGGGGCCGCTCTCAGGCCAGCCTGTGGGTGTCTGGGCACCATGCCCACCCCCGAGGCCCCCACTCACCCTCCAGGTAGGACACGGAGATGTTGGAATGGATGCCATTGATGGTTCTACAGGTCTCGAAGCTCCGATTCCCGCACGGCTCGTAATGCCACTCACACTCGTCCGGGGGGTTGTAGTAGTCGCAGAATATGGCTGGGGGGAGGGGTCAGCTTCAGGGGGGCCGAGGCCAGAGTCGGGGGAGACGGGCCAGCACGGCCCCTGAGGGGCGACACCTGGCCCGGGGCCAGGGAGGCAGAAAGGGACAACGTGTGCCCCGTCTCCTCTGTGGGCAGGGAGAGCCGCCCGCCCGCAGGGCAGCCCCAGCACGGAGACAGGTGGGCACTCACGGCACAGGTCTGGCGTCCTCCAGAACACGCAGGCCCCCTCCTTTGTACACTCCTGGGCGTAGGAGGCCACTGCGGAGCAGAAGCATTCACAGTCCCCGCCGGAGTCACAGGAGCAGGAGTCATGGACGCAGGCCTCGTAGAAGGGCTTGGGGTCCACCTGGGGGAGAAGACTCTGCCTCAGGCCCACACCGCCACCCGGGGCCAGACCTGCCCTGGGGCCAGGGAACTCGGGACCACCCGGACCAGGGCACCGTCACCCAGCACCAGCCTCCCAGGGAGGCCTGGGGGGGACAGGGGTCCAGAGACCGGTGGCCTGCCCTCCACACCCCCCACCACTGCCTGGAGCCACAGGCCTCTGGGCCTCAGGGGCTTATGTGTCCTTTCTTCCTCTTTGGAAGGCACCAGAGGAGCAGCGAGCTGGGGGTCTTGGGGAAGGTGGGACCTCGGGCCCAAGGACAGAAGATGCAGTTGACACTGCCCGGTGGTGGCCACGGTGTGACCCCAGCATGACCCACCCCGGCCCGCACACCTTGCTGTGGCAGCTGCTGAAGACAGAGCTCTTGATGATGCTGCACTGCTTCTCAGCCCAGGCGAGGCGGTGCGGTCTCAGGACGCAGGGCTCCGGGGTGCTGCTCACGTCGGGACAAGTGGGGGCCTCCTTCCAGCTGTTCCCGAAGTCCAGCTCGCTGTCCACCACCATGTGGTCCCTCGTGGTGAAGTCATTGCTGGAACGCTGGTCAAAGTTGCCGCACAGCCCGCACACCGCGCCCTGCAGAGACGGCGAGCCAGCAGCTTTGAGACGGGCTCGTGGGAGGGAAGGCAGCCAGTCCCATCATGCCCCGGGGAGGCCAGGCAGGGGAGGGCCACCACGTACCTTGTAGGATGGGGACAGCTTGATGAAGATGGTTGTCTTCCTGTCCCAGATGACAATGACACCAATGCTCGCCTCCACCACTAGGTACTGGCCCACATCCCGCGTGGTGTAGGCCACGGCGTGGCCCGTGTCGCGTTGGACCACCAGGCGCTGCTTGTTCTCGAGCTTCAGCTCTGTCCTCTGTGCCCGGGGAGAGGCCCCGTCACTGGTTGGGTCCTAGGGTCCCCTAGGGCCCCCGTGACCCCAGGGTCAGGCAGCACTCACCCCTATGAATATTTTGATGGCCTTGGAGCAGGTGACCCCCGTGGTGCCACAAGGAACGTTCTCAGTGATGATGCTGAAGGAGCCCAGGGAGGCATTGTGGCCGCAGTAGTCCTGGGGACCCATAGAGGACGTGAGCCAGGCTGGCTAGGCCACCTGGACCCCACCCTGGCACGAGGACCCTGAACCACACCCACAAGCCCCTCAGTCCCCGTGCGCTGCAGGAGGGTCACAGAATAGGAGCACCGAGGGAGGGCCAGCAGTACCCCTCGCTGGGCGCTGACCACGGCCCTGGTCCAGGCCTCACCTGAGCAGCCACATAGGAGCAGTGTCCGTCAAAATCATAGTACTTCCCGTCAAAGGTGATGTAGTGACCACTCCCGTAGATGGAGCAGGAGCCGTAGCACACGGACTGCGTGCACGTCCAGCGCCCTCTCTGGCAGGTGCTGAGGAGAGTGGGAAGTGGGCCTGGAGGGGTCACAGGGGCCCAGCCCCCCCCCCACTGGACAGCCCCGCCAGCAGCTCACGATCCACACCTAGACACACGCATCCATGTGGACCTCATCGCCCTCGTGTCCCCACCACATGTTCCCACCCGTGCCCAGAGTGGGGCCGATGGAGCCAGGCCACTTACCAGGTGTTGCAGTCCACCTTGATCTTGTCTCCTGGGGAGTACAAGTCATGGTTGTGCACGCATGGGCAGTTCTCCTCCGTGACACAGCCACCACGGCCATCGTCCAGCAGCCCACTTGGGCATATGCAGCCACTGACACACTCCGTCTGATACTGCAGGGGCCGGGAAGTGGGGCTCAGGGCTTCGATGCCAGGTCCAGGGGGCTCAGCCGGCCCTACTCAGGGCCGCCCCGTCTCCTCACACTGTGGACGCCCCTCTGTTCCCCGCCCTCTGTCCTCCCTCGGGCTCCCTGCTGTGCCTGGAGACAGCAAGGGCTACCTCCCCTGTGCCCTTGGTGGGCTAGGCAGGGATCCACAGGGCGCCACCTCCTTCCCCAGGACAGGGAGGGCGGTAAGGCCTGTGCGTGTGGAATCCCGCCTCCCCCGCCCCCATGGTGGCCCCTACACGCACGTGGCCGGCAGCCAGCGTCTGACAGCTGACAGGTCGTGGGTTCTGGATGGCCACCGCTGTCAGGTTGTTGCAGTCAATGTGGATCTTTGGGGATGGACAGCCTGTAGGACAGAGGAGGCCATCCCAGCTTAGCTGGAGTGGGGACGCGGCAGGTACGGGGCAGGTGAGGGACAGGAAGCCGTGCGCTGCAGCTGTTACTTACTCTGGCCAAGCAGCTTGACCTGCATGCAGTGCAGCCTCCCATTCCGGCAAACACTGAGGGGGAGAGGTGGGAGCTGAGTAGGCTCATAGGGGCAGGGGCGGAGGGGGGATGTGGTCCCCCCCAGGTAGAGCACGCCCTCCCCAGCCCTCCCACCAGCCCCAGGTCACCCACCATCGCTCCTCCTGCCTCAGCACCACTTCTCCGGCCTCGAGGTAGAGGCCATGGTAGTAGCAGGAGCACTTGGCCAGGGACACACAGCGGCCCTTCTCGTCCAGGAAAGTGTGGTCCGGGCAGCCGCAGCCGTCCACAGGCGCAAAGCCCTGCACACAGTGGGTGTCGGCCTCGGAGAGTGAGCGGCAGGTCTGCTGGCAGGTGGTCAGGTTGTACAAGAAGACCTGTGAGTTGGGGCAGGAGCCCACATCCTCATCTGTAGGGGGAAGGGAGGGGCCAGCATGAGGGTCAGAGGGATGGGCCCCAGCTGTCCTCCCACAGGCCGTCCCTGAGCCCCCTGCTTCCAGGACAGACAGATGCTGGCCCAGCCACGGGCTGACAAGGGCAGGCTCCCCAAGGCCTTGAAGGCGCACGGCAGCAAAGAGCAGCAGAGGGCTGACCCCTCCCGCCACTGGGGCCCCCAGACACCCCAGAGGGGATGGCACTCACTGCACACTTGCTCCCGCCAGCCCCACAGCATGATGCCCTTGGTGGCACAGGCACGGGCGTAGGAGGACAGCGCAGCACACATGCAGCTCTCGCTGTTCTGGCAGTTACATGTGTCATATTTGCACCTCTGGAGGCAAAGTGAGGCAGGCAGTGAGGGAGGGAAGCAGGTACACACCCACGTGCACCCACACGCAGACACACACGTGTGCTTGCACAAACATGCTCAGCAACCTCCAGCGGCAGCCTCGCCAGCAGGGGTCAACTGCAGGCCGTGCGGGTGCGGGGGCCACCCACCTTGTAATACTCCGAGGGGTCCACGGCTGTGTGGCACTTGCTGAATGGGGTCTCTGTCTTCTTCAGCAGGGAGCACCAGTGCTCGGCATAGTTGGCTGCAGAGGGGCCAGAACCTCAGCGGGGCGGCCGCCCCTCTAGCAGCCCCCAAGCCCAGCTGCCTGGCCACCCAGGCTGGAACAGACTGTGCCCCCGCCCCCCACACTGGCCCGCCCCCCCCCCCCCCCCGCCCAGGGCAAGTCCCGCCCCTCATCAGGTGGGGCACCCCCCGCCTCCCCTCCCTCTACCTCCCCTGACTGGGTGGGCAGTGGTGTGCAGGCACAGCCCTGCCCCTGACGAGGGCCACCACCCAGTGATTAGCGGGCGGGCCCGGGCCCTCTGCTGTGTCTCTTGGCGCACGGCCACCATGGGCCACCGTCAACCAGCCACGTGGCAGAGGGCAGCCGGTGGTTGGGCTGGCCACCCGGCCGGCACCTGCCCCCACCGGCACGTTGCGGGCCTCCCGAGTCCAAGCCTCACCACTCTCGATATTGAGGGAGCAGGGGTCGTCCAGCCAGTCTAGCTTGTCGTGGCAGTTCGACTGCGCCTTCCAGGAGTTGGCAAAACTGGCCCCTGTGGCCTCCACCAGCCCACCAGGCGTCTTAAAGTCATCCCCTTCCTGGCCATTGAAGTTCCCACAGAGCCCTGGGGGGGCCAGGACAAAGTTGGGAAGGGGCAGGGCGGCAGGGGGACGGGGCGGGCCCCGAGCGGGGCCTCTGTGGGGACCCACTGATGGCGCCACTCACCCTGCACGTGCCCCTGGGCAACCTGGTCCAGCGTCAGGAAGAGCTGCATGACAGGCAGCAGCTGCACCTGCAGCCTGAGGCCGAAGGCGGTGTTCACCATGAGGTGGTAGGAGGACGGTTGGAAGACGGAGAAGCTGGCTGCAAGGCAGGCAGCAGGGGGGTCCCACCTGGTTGGCAGGGGCTCCAGGGATGGAGGGGCTGCCCTCCCCCACCCAACTGGGTGCTCCAGGGGCAGGACTCACCTGTCACGTGGGGCAGGTTCACCTCCAGCTCGTTCAGCAGCACGCTGCCATCGGACTTGAAAGCCAGCACCTGCAGGAGGAACAGAGCAGACAGCAGGGCTGAGCAGGGCCTCGGGGACCCTGGGGTGCTGGGCAGGGCGAGGGGGGGCACCCACGTTCTTCCTGTTGTCGGCCAGCAGCACCACCGTCTTCAGGCAGGTCTGCTTGTCTGTGGAGCCGCAGGGGGCCAGCTCACCCAGCAGGGCATAGGAGTCGTTGTGGTCACCCTGTGGGGGACGGGGGGGTGGTGGCAGTGACCAGTGTGGAGCCTAATGCAGGGTCGGGCTCTGCCCACATGCTGCCCCCCAGCTACCTTGACCAGCACGTAGTAACAGTCCCCGTGGAAGGTGTACTTCTTCCCGTCGAAGGTGGTGATGTGGGAGCCGCCTTCCAGGCTGCAGGTCCCCGGGCACGGCAGGTCTTTGCACACCCAGCGGCCGGCGGTGCAGACGCTGTGGGTGGTGGGGAACAGCATCAGGCTCCACTGCCCTCAGGCCTGCCCCCCAGCCCGCTGACTCCCTGTGTCCCCCCAGCCCCAGGCCCTAGACCCACCACTCCTCGCATTCATTGGTGATCTGCCGGCCGGGCGAGTACAGGTGCCCGTGAAGCCTGCAGTGGCACTGGCTCACGGGAATGCAGCCGCTGCCTGTGATGTCGTCGTACACGGTGCCTGCACGGGACAGGCGTGACGTCACCCTTGGCTGCTTCAGAAGGCCCGGGAAGCCCCACACTGCGACTCTTGCTGCAGGGGCCAAGGCCCCGAACAGGCGCTCGGAAGGTGGGGTGATCCCCTAGGTGGGGTCGCCAACCAGGCCTCCCTCTCCCCCCACAGATGCTCCGGTCCTTTGGGCAACATAGGTGCCCCCGCATGTCATCCAGTCAGGGGTGGCCTCCAGGCCCCGCAAGCAGGGCAGCAGGACACTTGCTCACGGAGCGCTGACCAGGAAGGACCCCCCACACCAAGACCCCCCCAAGGCCAACACTGTGTGTGTTGCAGGGGAGGGGTCTTCAGCACTCGCGTCTCCTCTACCTGTTGTCAGGGATGGGGTACTGCACCTCGCTCCCAGCACCGGCGCTACCCCCACCAGCCGACACTGCCCCCCGCCCCAGAGAGAGCAGTGCCACTAGCCTCACCCCGCGGCCCCCCAGCACGCACCTTCCGGGCAGAAGCAGCCATCCATGTGGTGCTCCTCACACAGGCTGCTGACCTCCAGGTGAGAGCAGGTGTCCATGCAGGGCGAGCCGCTCTCCAGGTAAACCATGTTCCCAGGGCAGCTCTTGGCTGGGAGGACAAAGGAAGGCCCCTGAGCCGGCAGATTCGCCGAGGGGGGCCACACAGCGGGCAGGGGAGCCCCTGAGCGCCCACCTCGCATGCTGAAGCCTGGGCCACTGCTGAGTCGGCACCCACACAGCCCCCAGGCCAGGATGCCAGGCCGCCCAGCCCCCTGGACAGTCCCCCCAACAGTCCCCCAACTCAGGGCCCCAAGGTGCCCGCCTCCCACCTGCCCTGGCGGCACTTACGGCACAGCTCAGCCGTCCTCCAGTTGCCGGGCTGCCCGCCCGCGTGGGAGCACTGGCGGGAGAACTCGGCGAGGGTGCTGCAGGCGCAGGAGGTGCCCGCCGGGCACCGGCAGCGGTCCTGGGCGCAGGCCTGCACGTACAGCTCCAGCGGCAGGAGGCCCAGGCAGTCTTTGAAGGCCGAGGCCGTCAGCAGCCTCTCGCACTCAGCGCGCTGCAGACACATGGGCGCCAGGTGAGGACCACACGCCCCCTCACCTCCCGGCTGCCAACGGCCCCCCAGCCCCCCAGCTCGCCCCGGGCCGACGACGCACATGCTCAGAGCAGGACTCCAGGGCCGGCTCCTCCTCAGGGTCATCGCACACCACACCGGGCTTGTTGATCTTCTGCATGGTCCCAAACTCGATGGCACTGAAGAGCACGCCTGGGGACGCAGCCCGTCAGTGGTCACCCCGCCTGCCCCGCCCACCCCTTGCCCACCTGCCAGGCCCCGGGGAGGCCCTCACCATCAGAGAGGAACTCCGAATAGGTCTGCAGCCCATTGTAGTCCCCGCAGAGGCCACATGTGTGGTTCTGGAACCTACTGTCCAGCTCCAGCTGTTGGGGGAAGAGGAGGCAGGGGATGGGCTGGTGGCCAGCAGGACAGGGCCACCACGGTAGGTCTCCCACGGCCAGGCTAGCCAAGTGGGCTTCAGAGGTGACAGGAGGGCAAGTGTCGGCACAGCACGTCTGGCAGGGCAGGGGGCAGCACCCCAGGCCCTGATGGTACTCTCTCCGGGTGGGCTGCCAACCCCCTGAGGGACTCCTCATGACCAGGCTCAGACCCCAGCCACCACACCCCCCTGGGATCCCCAGCCCTCAGGCCCATGGTGGAGCTGCACCCACCATGAGTGAGTCTTCCCGGTTCCACATGAGGGTGAGTCCAGCACGGGAGTAGACCTTGGTGTAGGCATCGTTCTTCTCAATGAGCAGCCCAGAGCTGTAGTGTGGAGTGCTGACCCTGGGGAAGGGGCATCGGGCAGGGGTCACCCGCCGGCCCACACAGCCCCCACCACGGCAGGTCTCCCACCATCCTGCGGCGCAGAGGCCACTGAGGCTGTGCTTGGGTGGGAGAGATGGCCAGGACCACAGACAGGGTGGCCACCTCCTTGTCCAACCTCCCACCCATCCCCCTCCCCACACCTCTCCTCAGAGCAAGGCTGCCCACCCCCTGGCCCAGGCTGGCTGAGGGGCTCCCTTGCCCCAAGTCTGTGCTCCCTGGGCCTGGACCCACGCAATGGACACTGGAGGCGACAAAGGACAGACACCGCGGGAGGCTGGGCAGGAATGCAGCTTAAAGCCCCATTGTTCCAGAGACAATGGGGGACAATCACCTGGGAGGGGCTCCCACTGCTGGCCCCCCACTTCTGTAACTGGAGCCTAGTAACAGGGAGGCCCCCTCCTCCTGGGAGGGCCCCTAGTGGTCGGGGCCCATTCCTCCCACGGGGCGGCGCCCCTCTTGCCCCCCACTCACAAGGCCCCGTTCACCACAACCAGCTGCGGGGTGAGGTAGATGGTGTCATCCTTGATGCTCAGCAGGATGTACTCAAGCTGGGGGTGCTCCCCATCTCTGCCCGCGCCCCGCTTCAGGTGAACCGCGAACTCCTTATAGGAGTCTCTGCAGTCGGACGCGAAGTTGTAGTCACACAGGCCCGGGAAACGGAAGACGTCCCCATCGAAGGTCTTGTAGTGGAAGTCGCCCCAAGTGCTGCAGACGCTGTGGCCGTGGTTCCGGGTCCTGCCCTCTGGGAGAGCGGGAGACGCAGGGGTGAGCAGCCCGGGCCCCCCGGAGGCCTGTTCCGAGGCCCTACCTGGCAGCGGCCCGCAAGGGACCCTCCTTGGCCACCCCGCCCAGGGGGGTCTCAGCCCCCTGAAAGGACATCTCCAGCTGCCACACCCTCGCACCCCAGCCCGGCCCGGAATGCAGCCATTTGCCAAGTGGGCAACGAGGGCCGTGGGGCTCCCCGGAATGCTGGGCTCCCTGTCCGCCTAGCTCAGTGTCCCCTGCCCTGTTGCTGCCTGGACCCAGGCAGCCTCCCCCTGCTCCCACCGCCCCTCATCCAACAGGACTGCATCCCTGCACCCCCAGACGGTGTCCCGTTGTGTCCAAATGTCAGGGGCCAGTTCCCCTCCAGGGGTTTTTCCACCCAACGCACAAGGGGTGGAGGTGTCCCCATCTTGCGTTCCCAGTCTTCTCTGTCTGGAGCGACCCTTTCATCCTGTGGCCAAACACCCTACTCTGCAGGAGGATCATCTTGGCCTTGGCCCCGGGAGGGTCCCTTACTCCCGGGCCCTCTCGGCTGCCCCTGCCTCCCACACACACCCCTGGACAGAGGCCCAGCTCAGGTGTTTCCAGCAGGAGATGGTCCTCAAAGGGATGGCACAAACCCAAGACCCCCTTCCCTCCTTCCTTCCCTCCACCCAAAGTCAGCAGGGGCTCAGGAGCAGGATGCCCGACCCAAGCGGCACACCCCAAAGGAGGGGCAGAGGAGGGTCGCCTACTCCCAGGTAGGACACCTGCCCTGAGCCACCCCAGCCTTCCTGCCGCCCCTCACCTCTCTGGAGCTCTGCACCCCTGGCCGAGCTCAGGACCAGGCAGATGGCCACCAGGCGGGCTAGTGACAGCCCCATGGTGGCTCGGGAGGGCGGCAGGGAGAGCACCTGGGGCAGGGGTCCGGGCCTTATATGGCCCAGTGGAACTGGCAGAGGCGGGAGAGGAGTGGAGGGGAGGGGCGGGGGTGGGTGGGTGGGGCGTTTCCAGGTTATCAAGAAAACAGCTGTGGGGGCTCCTGTGGTGCCACCTGGGAAATATTGATTCACGTTATCTGCGGTTTATCTTTTTATTGAGCTCTCCTGGGGATGCCTCAGCACCCAGTTCCAGCACACGCCCTCCCAGCTGCAGGCAGGACCGGGCCCAGTGAGGTCCTGGGCCTCCACGCCCCGGCAGGCTCCTGCCCCTCCTGGCCCCAGCCCACCCTGCCAGCATCCCGGCAGAACCAGGGCTGAATGAGGCCCTCCCCCAACAGGGGTCCCAGTCAGGACCACGGCCATGTCTGCTCCCCTCTCCTACTCTGGTACCCCGGGCCTCCCCACGAGGGGCCCAAGCCCCCCAAGCCAGGGAACAAGTGGGCTCCTGGGAGGTCCAGGGGCTGTCCCATCTCCCTGTGGACTCAGTTCCTGGGCCCGTTTCGGCCAGCAGCTTGAAGTCAGGCTCCCAGCTCCCGCACACCTTCTAATCCCTTCGTGTTCCCAGGCTGAGCCAGTCTCTGGAATTACCTGTAATTAGAACTTGGGAAGCCCAGCCAGGAAACGCGTAACTGAAGCACATCCTCTGGGGCCCAGGAGGCCGGGATGAAGGCTGGGAGTAGACACCCCTGCGGGGAGTATGGCCCAGACACAGGCCCAGGCTGGCAGCCACCCCTGCAGGTCCAAAAGCCCATCTTTGGGGAAACATGAGGAGAACCGATGCTCAGACTCACAAATTATACCCCAGTTGTCCCCGAGCTTCAGGGACAAGGGGGGAGGGACCCTCTTAACCACTGAAATGCTGGGCTAGGAGGATGTCCTGCTTCCCTGACCCAGCTCCCCTCACAGGGACTGACCGGGACCAGGTGCCCCTTGGCTTGCCACCTCCTGGTGGGCCCTTCTTCTGCACCACACCACAGGGGCAAGAAGCCTGCTCACACCACCTGACCACTCCTTGCAGGGCCCATGGAGGGGCCAGTGCCCTGGAGGATAACCGGGGCCAAGGGCACAAAGCCTGCCATTCCCAGGGAGCCTGGGATGAAGCTCCTCCCATCCCACTGTGCCACCAGCCCCAGGCCTAGGAACTGTCACCTGTGCAGGAACCCAGGGCTCCAGGCACGAGCATGTGGCCTGAGCCAGGAGCAGCAGGGATTAGGAAACCAGAGCCAGAGGGGCCAGCGGGCCCATTGTGCCACTTCCCTGTGGGGCCGAACAGTCTGGCACTGAGCCCTGAGGAAACCCAGGACAGGGGGCCCCCTCACAGCCCCTAGAGGCAGTGATTTTCCATGACAGGCTTCCTCTGTCCTGGTGGGATTCAGAGAAATCCTGGCCCAACACTAGACACCCAGCCCAGCCCCTCCTGCCCTGAGTATGAGAGGCAGGAGACCTCCCCAGGAACTGAGAAGTTGGGGTCCTCCCCCAGGATGGAGAAAGTGGGGTCCTCCACTGGGATGGAGGAGGTGGGAGTCCTCTACTGAGTCTGAAAAGGTGAGGTTCTCCCCTGGGAACAGAGGAGGTAGGGTCCTCCCCTGGGATGGAGGAGGTGGGATCCTCTCCTGGAACTAAGAAGGGGGGTCCTCCACTGGGATGGAGAAGGTGGGAGTCCTCTACTGAGTCTGAGAAGGTGAGGTCCTCCCCTGGGAACAGAGGAGGTAGGGTCCTCCCCTGGGATGGAGGAGGTGGGAGTCCTCTGCTGGGGTCTGAGAAGGTGGAGTCCTCCCCTGGAACTAAGAAGGGGGGTCCTCCCCTGGAATGGAGAAAGTGGGATCCTACCCTGGGACTGAAAAGGTGGGGTTCTCCCCTAGGATGGAGAAGGTGGGGTTCTCTCCTGGGATGGAGAAGGTGGGGTCCTCCCCTGCAATGGAGAAGGTGGGAGTCCTCTACTGAGTCTAAGGAGGTAAGGTCCTCCCCTGGGACAGAGAAGATGGGGTCCTCCCCTGGGATGGAGGATGTGGGAGTCCTCTACTGGGGTCTGAGAAGGTGGGGTCCTCTCCTGGGACAGAGAAGATGGGGTCCTCCCCTGGGATGGAGGATGTGGGAGTCCTCTACTGGGGTCTGAGAAGGTGGGGTCCTCTCCTGGGACAGAGAAGATGGGGTCCTCCCCTGGGATGGAGGATGTGGGAGTCCTCTACTGGGGTCTGAGAAGGTGCGGTCCTCCCCTGGAACTGAGAAGGTGGGGTCCTCCCCTGCGATGGAGAAGGTGGGAGTCCTCTACTGGATGGAGGAGGTGGAGTCCTCCCCTGGGACTGAGAAGGTGGGGTTCTCCCATGGGGACAGAGAAAGTGGGGTCCTCCCCTGCAATGAAGGAGGTGGGAGAAGTCTGAGAAGGGCAGCCCTATATCTGCTATGTGAGGGGCAGCAGTGCTGACCTGAGGCTCAGAGGTGTGACCCTAACACTCCTGGCCCAGGGGCAGGGTCTCAGGGACCCCAGAAGAGAGGTGACACCAGGCTGCATGGGGCGGCAGTTCAGAGCCTTCAGAAGGCGGTGGTGAGCCCTCTGTCAGGCTGGGGTGACCGGCATCGCCCCACAACCCCCAGCAGAGTAGAGTCTGGGATGGCTTCCCATGCTCAGTGCCACCTTCAGATCCCTGGGCAGTCCCCAAGGCCGGCTGGGCTTTGTCGCTGTGACCGTGGGGCCCCTTACAGGTGAGTCAGTGGGGCGCAGGCTCTGCTAAATAGAGAACAGAATGCCCGACTAGGGCCGCAGAAGCCTGGTGCTTGGACACACACAGGCCCCTGTCACCTTGTCCACGAGGACAGATGTGGGAAGAGGACTGTCTGCCCCAGAAGTGTCCCCTGTACAGCTGGAGCCTGTCCTGCCCCTGGGCCCCACGGGGACTCCCCGTCCCCTGTCCTCAGTGCAGGCTGTTGAGGAGACGCTGATTGCCCATCCCCAACAGGCGGACCCCCCCAGCACAGGGCCGGGGACACCTGGAGCCTCCCCGCTAGGCCCCACACCCAGCAGTGTTTACCCTGACAAGACACTGTTCCCAAGGACTGCGTGAATTTACCACAGGGAGGAGGCCACAAAGACGTCATGAAACAGCCCAAAGTGACTGTCCCACTGCTTTTCTGTCCATAAACCTGACTCACCAGGAAGTAGAGGGGTTATGAGGGAGGGCTGTAAGGGAGGGAATGGGGGAGAGGGGCGAGGGGGAAGAAAGGAAGGTTGTGGAGAGAAGAGAGAAGAGGAAGCCTCACACCTGCCAGAGAGACCTGAAGATAGCAGGTGTGTCCCCAGCCCGCTATCCCTTGTTCTGAGTCACCTGGCATGAAGGTTAATTCTATGCACCAACATCGCCAGGACATGGTACCAATTTTTGATAAAACACCAGTCCAGATGTTGCTGTGAAGCTATGTTTTAGATGTGAACAGGACACCCTGCATAATGTGGGTGGGCCTCATCCAATCAGTTGAAGGCTTTAACAGGAAAAAGACAAGAGGTCCCCCAAGAGGAAAGAATTCTGCCTCCAGATGGCCTTTGGTCTGAAGCTGCAGCATCAGCTCTTCCCTGGTGCTCACCCTGCAGGCTTCACACTTGCAGCCTCCACAATTCCTTAAAATAAGTCTCTCTCTCATATATATGTACATATACCCTTCTCAGACCAAAAGCCCAATCTCAGATCCACAGCTCTGGCCCAGCTTTGTCAGGCACATGGAGGGTGCACCCAGATAAATCATGGGTTCTCAGGCCCTCTGGACACCCAAGGAGACCCCAGTCCCAGCCAGCCACAGGGACAGAGTCCCAGGCAAGTAAGTGTCTGAGGAACAAGAGCAGGCAAACAAAGCACCAGCCATGCCTATCTCCTCCCCATGTCCTCCCCAAAACATCAGAAAGGGAACTCAGACATCACAGCATGTCTACTTCCTGCACTTTCAAAGATTCTGAAAGACCTGGGGTATGCAGGCCCAGGTCCCACAACATCAGCCTCTGGACTGCAAAGGTTCACTAGTGGGATGTTAACTCACCCTCCCCCCAATAGTGTGTAAAGGGCAGGTGGGTAAGAACTCAGAGGTATTTATTCTGGGTAAGAATGGGGAGAGGCCAAGTCAGTAGGCTGGGCTCCTTGGCTTGGGCTCCACTGGACAGGTGTCCACTGGGCTGGCCTCCTTATGAGAAAAAGGCCACTGTGCTTCAGAAGACCAGCCACCTTTGAGAAGTCACCCCCACCTTGAGACCTGGCCCAAGTGCCATGCCCTTGCCCTGACCATGGCTCTCACCACCCTGGCCACTATGTGTGGCCACTACTGGCCTTCTTGCTATAAATGCCTTGAGGGCCGTAGCCTATGTGGGCCCCTCCATAGGCCAGCTTCACAGTAAATGTGCTCAGTAACTTTCCTTCCGGGTGGCTGGGTGGTGGAGGGAGAGAGGAAGGGAGAGAGGGATAGGTGGATCATGAGTGGATGGAAGGATTGTTGAATGATTGCATAATGGATGGATGGATGGATGGATGGATGGATGGATGGATGGATGGATTGGTGGATGGGTGGATAGATAGATGTGTGGATGGATGGATGGATGGATTGGTGGATGGGTGGATAGATAGATGTGTGGATGGATGGATGAATGAATGAATGGATGGATGGATGGATGGATGGAGAGTGGATGGATGGATGGTGGATGGATCAAAATATGGATGGATAGTGATGGATGGATGAATGGATGGATGGATAGTGGATGGATGATGGATGGATGGATGGATGAATGGATGAATGGATGAGTGGATGTGTGAATGGACGGATGTGTGGATGGATGAATGGATGGATAGTGGATGGATGGATCGATGGGTGGATGGATGGATGGATGTGTAGATGAATGGATGGAGAGCGGATGGATGAGTGGATATGTGGATGGATGAATGGATGGATGGATGGATTGTGGATGG